AGAGGGCTGTAAAATTTACAGCCCTCTCTACTTAGCGTGAACCCCACAAATTAATTATCTAATTAGTGAGGGCCCCACAAATTAATTAATTTGTGGGGCCCACGCTAATTAGAGAGGGCTGTAAAATTTACAGCCCTCTAAACACTGTAAGTGTAGTGCTGTTCTACCTAAAAATGGAAGATACATCGAATTGCTATCAATATTTAATGTCCACGTTTACGTGATTGCACCAAATTAAAGTTGGATGGACCAATTAAGCAGACAATGTGATATTGAAGAAAACAAAGAAAAAACTCGAGTCTTCTCGAACCATCCGAGAAATGTGATGCAGATGAAAACAAAGAAAAATTGAGACAACAGAGAAGTCTTTCCAATGTAAAATTTTCTTCCACAAACACAAGGATGTTGGAATTCAATGGTTTAATAAATGTGATTTAATGATCTTAATGTGTGAATTGAAACAAGTCTCTGTTGAATACGATGACAAGATGAGATTTTTCAAATACAATAAGTGCATATCTAAGAGTCATGATTTTCCAAAACAACCATTGGACATTTTAAAAAGCAAAACAATTTTTTCACCAACATAGACGTTCAAATCTAGAGTGAATGACAATTTTGACGTGTCTTACAACACACACATATTACTTAATTCTAGTCGTGGTTGTAAAATTGAAAATAAATTGTCGTCTTTCAAATCATATTCAAGTGACATATACTTTAAAATTTCGCAACCATGAGTAGATTAGGCAGTGTATTTCCCAGAAATGAAAGATATGGTTCTCATTGACATCAATATTTAATGTCTACAAGAGACGTGATTGCACCCCAATTAAGATTTCAAAAATAAAATCAACCCCCTCAAGAAGACTAGGTAAAAAACAATAAGTCTTTGTGAACCATCCGAGAAATGTGATGCAAAAGAAAACAAAGAAAAATTGAGAGAACAAGAGACAAGTCTTCCCTAGTGCAAAAGTCTTCGTGAACCATCCGAGAAATGTGATGCTGAAGAGTATGGTTAAGCTTTAGTTTATTTTTAATCACATTTTTAATCCAAATTAATTTCAAAATAATTGATTTCTAAATTCTTCCTCTCCCTCCCAATTCCTGTCATAGTAATTTTCAAATTACTTTCAAGTTTTCGTATTCGTAAATATAGTATGTAATATTATTCGATTTCGAAGAGTATGGTTAAACTTTAGTTCATCGAACAAAATTAATATTGTGTCGTATTAATTTTGGAAGTAGCGTTGTATCTTAGGATACAAATGTCTATTTAATCCTATTAGTACTAGTGTATGAACCAAATATGTCTTAAGATGATTTGCATTTAATATACTTCGCTTCATTTCATCTCTTTATAAATTCTTATTTTTCCTACATTTTCAGTGAATCGAAATTCTGTCCAATTTCATTTTGCAAAATAATTGCCGCACATTTTAGTTTTTACAAAATAATTGCACCATATTTTTCCAACAAAGGATAGAGACAATTTCACCAAAATGAAAGAGATGCACAGAAGCAGATATTGCGTCAGCACAAATTTTTCCACTTAGAATTAAGTTAAGATAATGTGTGGTTGATGACTCTAGAAGGTCAAATTAAATCCTAATTTCTGGGAAAGTGCAGAATAAAACTTACTATTTCTCAATTCATCTCTTGAAAGTACTAAGAAAAAATATAAGATGTCTCATAATATCGATATTTGAGACATTTTACATAAATCAAGCCATTTTAAACTAAGCTTTTTTATAATTATTCCACATTTTCTTTCTACGGTTCAATTAGTATTTTTATAAACAGGAATAATAAGCTTTTCATCATTATTCCATAACAATGTTTCAATTGAGAAAGTAAAAAAAAGTTCACTGATTCAATTGAGACAAATTAAAATTTAGTAATCAATTTTTATTTTATTTTTCAAAGAAAAAATGTTTAGTGAGTATTGCTGAAATTTACGATAAATATTATGTGCGTGGTATCGTACACTATTATTTTGTCCTATATTACCCAATTACCCAATTGATTTCTATGTTGTGCTTTCAAATGCTTTTAAAAAGAAAGTACAATGTCCAACAAGACGCTTTTCCATTAGTCGGGAGATAAAAAATTAAAACTTAATGACAAACTTGGAACCAAAAAAAAAAAAAAAAAAAAGTTTCCTGGCAAAAATGAAACAGTGCCATAAAAAGGCACCGAACCATGTTTTTAGCTCTAAATGCATACGTATATATCACTTAAATTGAAAATAAATCGTCGTCTCTCAAATCATATTAAAGTGACATATACTTTAAAATTTTGCAAACATGACTTGGTTAGGCAATGTATTTCCTGGAAATAAAAGATAATTATCTCATTCACATCAATATTTAATGTCTACGTGAGATGTGATTGAACCCTAATTAAGATTTCAAAAATAAAATTAACCCACTCAAGAAGACCAAGAAAGAA